TATATATATATATATATGCGAAAAATGCACATGCGAAACGCAGTTCATTGTGTGAAAAAAGATGGTGGCCGGGCAGTTTGTTTGATACGAAAACCGAGAACTCTCATTTAGTGTATGGTAGCATATACGACGAAAACTTTCTAAGGCAATGGCTAATACGGGGCAGCAGAGATGCGCGTTGTATAGAGAACGTAAGCAAGTATATCGCAACAGCAAGGTAAAGTCAATTAGTCAATATTAATTGGTCTTCTCTTTGTTCCCATCGTTCTCGTTTTATCTGCTCGTTTTCTTTTCAGTTAGTGAAGTTTTTTGCCAGCTGTTGCTTTTGTCATTACGAGTCGTGTTCCGTCCGAAGATAATGTAATGTTTTGCTTTCGCCCTTTGTCACTAAGAAATCTATTAAATGCGTCATCCTTCTGTGTTCTGTTCATAAGGTCCCATGCTTCAATGATGATGCGATGTTTTGTAAAAGCTGGCTTCAGGCAATATTCTTCTCCAGCAACCAGTGCTCGTTGGTATTTCATGAATTAAGATTAAACGATAGAATATAACATATCAACCAGATCACATAATTTGTTTTGCTTCCACTGCGAAGCCAGTAAATGATTAACGGACTCGCAATTATTATTTGTCCAGTTCAGTTCAGATGATGATTTCTTCACCACAGGGGAAATGACATGTTCTTTGATCAGTGGTAACAAGCAGAATTGAAAATATTTGCTGAATGTCCTTCCTTCATTTTTGTGATCATTTTTTAAAATAGTTTCTAGATTCGAAATAGATTAGAAGATTTCAATGGTTGCAGATAGGGATAGGAACCTTTGATGAGGAAGAGATCCAGATTTTTTTTTTTTTTCGGGCTTACCCGCTGATGCATTTTGTGTGTTGCATTTACTGGCATAATAACTGGCATCATCTGTAGCCTCATCTGTAGCCTCATCTGTAGCCTCATCTGTAGACTCATTTATAGTGTGTTTAGTGTTTGATGTTCGGCTTTCTCGATTTTCAACCAATGGGACAAAATGGTTTGGAAACCATTCCTTACGTTTTGGTGGCTGTTGATTTTGTTTTTGCCTGCATAGCTGACATTTGTCCAAAGGATATTGATATATTTTGGCTCAACATTGATATCCTGTGGTGTGAAAGTTGTGTTTAATGCCGTATATACAATGTTTTTTGTTCCATTTGTGGCAGGATAGACAGATGTCACCGGAAGATTCAGGTGATTGGACAGTGCCATCATCCGCCATACTGAGGACCAAGATAGGGATTTCACACAATCGATGCAGTCATCTTCAAAGTCGGAAATATTAGAGAAAGTCTAGCATATGCTGGATGGCCCTTTATTTTTTCGCCATTGATTACCATTTCTAGGCAGCATCTGTACCTGAGCTCTACTGACATCGACTCGTCACCCTTCAGCAGAATCGAAAAAACATTAAATAAACAATCGCCATCCCCAGTACATGCAAGCAGCGTCAATACTGTTGTATGGTAGTCTGCGATAATTGCCTCAGATACAGGGTCGTTTTGACAGTGTGCGAAGTCGAAGACTTCAGAGACAACTTTCTTTTCCTTCAGAAGTAGCCATTCCCTCCGTGAAATACACGTGAGCTTCGTCATTCCTTGCTTTGCAGCCTGAAAGAAAAAAATGATGCATCCTAACGCCAGAGATACACATAGGTGTTTATACACGTGGTCGCGGCCGACCTTTATTAGGGAGGGGGCTGGTGGCCGCATGTGTACACAACCTTATTCAGGCGCACGGGCGAGTAGAGAAATGTTCAACTCCATCAAATACTCAAAGCGTGTATCTATTCACCCCTTGTGTTTACCGGTTCAATAGATGGCCGCTTGGAGTGCCCAAATCCAGTAAAGCGAGTATTCCAGTCAAAAAGTCATGAGTGCGTACCCTGTTCGACTATTCGAGAAATAAGCTGTTTTATACCATAAATTTTACACGTTTAATTGTAATAATAAATTATAGTAAATTAATTTCGTGTGTATTTGTATGCAGCGCGTTCAATTGGGGTGTAATTGTGTGTGTGTGTGGGGGGGGGTTGTGTGTGTGGTAGGGTGTGTGTGTGTGTGTGTGTGTAGTATGTGGCGGCGTGCGTGGCGTACGTGACTGCGTGCGTGCGTGTGTGTGTTTGCGTGCGTGCGTGTGTGCGTGCGTGCCTGCGTACGTGCGTGCATGTTTGTGTGTAACTACGCGCGGCGTTGCGTTGTTTTGACGTGCGTGTGTGTTGTGTGTGGCGTTTGCGTGGCGTGTTGTGTTTGCTGTTTGTGTTTGGTGCTGTTTGGTTGTGTTGCGTGCTGTTTGTGTTTGTGTTTTGCGTGCGTGTTTGTGTTTGTGTTTGGCGTGCGTGTTTGTGTTTGGTGTTGGCGTGGCGTGTTTGTGTTTGGTGTTTGCGTGCGCTGTTTGTGTTTGATTTGCGTGCGTGTTGTGTTTGTGTTTGCGTGGCGTTTTGTGTTTTGTGTTCGGGGCGTGTTTGTGTTTGTGTTTGCGTGCGTGTTGTGTTTGTGTTTGCGTGCGTGTATTGTGTTGTGTTTTCGCGTGCAGTGTTTGTGTTTGTGTTTGCGTCAGTGTTTGTGTTTGTGTTTGCGTCAGTGTTTGTGTTTGTGTTTGCGTCAGTGTTTGTGTTTGTGTTTGCGTCGGTGTTTGTGTTTGTTTGCGTGCGTGTTGTGTGTCGTGCGTGTTTTGTTGTTTTGCCGTGTTTTGCGTTGGTTTCGTCGCGCGGTCGTGGCGCGGCGCGTAGTGCGCGCGGTGTGCGCGCGTGTGGCGCGCGTGTGCGCGCGTGCGTGCCTGGCGTGCGTGCGTGCGTGCGTGCGTGCGTGCGTGCGTGCGTGCGCTGTAGAACTC